TATGTCGGTGGGAACCGATGGTGGGTGTTGGTCGTCGTTTGCCACCCGTGGTGGCTGATTTAGGAAGCTTTAGTTTCTAGATGCCGATTAAGGGCGATTGCGTATGGTTCCTGTTGAATAAGAGTCACAAAACACCACCATGGCAGTCGGCCATGGTGGTTGTCACCGATAGCGGAGCTGCTGCCGAACTTCTTGTGTTACCATTGCCACCAAGTGGGTGGTTGGGTTCGTTTGCAACAGAAATCATATGTGTTTATTGCAGTTAAGTGATGTTTGGGTGTGTGTTATTTCAGTGACGAATGATTGGGTTTTTGTTGGCCAGATAAATCAAGAAAGCCACCACCACCACCATGAGGTGGTGGCTACCGCTAAGCACCATCGTCGGCCACCATGGTGTGGTTGTGTGTGTGTGTTAATTAGTGTGTGAATTAGTTAGTGTGTGTGTTAGTGAGTGTGTGGATTATTTTGGATAAAGCATTGTAATTGTAAGTTCCAAAAGATTAATGAAAAGAAACTCAAACCACCACCGTAAGGTGGTGGCCGCCGCCGAAAGCCGCCATTGACCACCACTACCCGATGTGGTAGTAGGTGGTGCCCGCTAGCAAACCCTAATGGGCTTAGAGATTGGTTTTTGGCCTATTGGGCCATGTTTGGGTGGAAAACCCTAATTATGAGTATTGGGCCTTAGACTTATTAGGCCCACTTATGGGCCATTGGGATTGGATTGTGAATTAAGCCCAAATTATTCCATGTCATTTATCTAGTAGAGTAAATGAATTAATGGATCAAGTCCTTAATGGGCTAATTGAGAAAATCCTAATATTGGTGAATTTATCAAGACACACATGGGAATTATTCAATAAGTGAAATATTAAATAACAATCATTGGCAGAAATTAATCTAAGCAATAATGGACTTAATGGATTAAGTTCTTAATGGATTAAGTCCTTAGTGGGTTAAGCCCTTAATGGGTTAAGTGAGAAACACTTAACCCTAATTATCATTTTATGTGAAACCCTAATTTCACTTGGGATTGGTGTTGGGCCATCCAAGAATAATCAAATGGACTAGAGTAATTAGTTGGGCTATAGGGTAAGGCCCATATGAAGGATTGGGCCCAATTTGGAAAATTAGGCCATAGATGGGCCATAGTTAGCCTAGATGGTTGTATGATATTGGGCCCTTAGAATGAGACATGTTGGACTGGACTGGACAATTAGGCCTTAAGGGAAGCTTATGTAGAGGTTTGGGCCCAATTTGGAAAATTGGGCCATATGTTGGGCTTTGATCCCTAGTTGACTTTGGGCATATGGATTGGACCTTGGGCTTAGGTAAGCCAAGCTTGGGGTAATGTAGTAATTATCCAAAGTATGTAATTGTAGTTATGTAGTGGAACCCAATTATTAATTGGGTGTTATTTTGATGTTGACAGATCGGGAATCTGTCATCTAGCAGCTGGGGTCGAGTCTGCGGGACTTCAGCAGTGTGGAAGTGAGTCTGCGGGACTTCAGCAGTGTGAGGTGAGTTTCCTTTCAGTAGGAACGGGTCTACGACCACAATGTCTACCCGTTTAGTTAGCAGTAGTTTCGGACTACAGTCTGATGCAGTAGTTCATTATGCTTGGTATCTTTGTGATACAGATGAGTTATGTGTTTCAGACTATGGTCCGATGCAGTATGCAGTATATGTGTTTATGTTATATGCTATGATTATGTTATGCTATGTTCAGTTAGTTATGGACCTCGGTCCGATGTAGTAGTTAGAGTGCTTGATGTCTTTGTGGTTCAAGCATGTTTTGTGTTATGTGTTCCGGACTCTGTTTCGATGCAGTATGCAGTATATGTATTCATGCTAATTGATATGTTACGATATGCTATGTTCAGTCAGTTTCTAGACTTTGGTCTGATGCAGGGGACGGGGTCCCAGTAAGTTCCGGACTTCGGTCTGATGCAGTCAGTTCCGGACTTCGGTCCGATGCAGGGGACAAGGTCCCAGTCAGTTCCGGACTTCGGTCCAATGCAGTTAGTTTCGGACTTCGATCCGATGCAGGGGATGGGGTCCCAATTAGTTCCGGACCTCAGTCCGATGCAGTTTCCGGACTTTGGTCTGATGCAGTGGGCAATGCCTAATATGTGTTTATATGTTATTGTATGGTATGTGGTAGTTTAGGGGGAAACTCACTAAGCTTCGTGCTTACGAATTTCAGTTTTGGTTTCAAGTACTCAGTTTTCAAAAGATGAGCTCGGGAAGATTGCAGTGCACACACCATTTGTCCAGCCTGGGATGTTTATACTCTGATATATTTGATAGTTGTTAAGATATTTTGAGATACATTGTTTATGATTCTTATATGACGTTAGACCAATATGGTTTTATTATTAAATTAAACGAAATTTCCAAACAATGTTTTTGTGATGTTTCAAAAAAACAACAAGCATTTGTTAAGAGAATTTTTTGGAATTCAAAGGGAAGCAAGATGATATTGTGTTGTTAATAATTATAAAAATAATGACTTGTTAGCTTATTTTATTTTAGCATAGTACTTCGAAATTCACCCAATTATAAAAATAATGACATGTTAGCTTATTTTACTTTAGTTCATTTAAAAGCAGAGTACTTCGAAATTCACCCAATTACAACATCATACTTTCATTTTAGCTTATTTTAAAGCACTTTACTTTTAAATCTACCAATTGCAGATTTGCAACACCCATTTCCTGTCATTGTTGTAGGTGGTTGTGCGTGCTTAAACTTTTTCGTTACATGTATTACCAATTTTTAGAACCTGGATAAATATACTTCTTTGGCTTGTGTTAAAATTGGGTTCACCTTAAGAAATAGGGTGTAGGTTTCTTGAGAGATGTGTATATCGTGTTGATCAAAAGCTTTACATGTTACACATGGTAGTGTTTCAAAATTGTGCACAAGGTTTTTTTTGGCTTCAAATTTCATCATTATTTTGTACACATTTGTGGGTGAGACTTATTCTAAGTATAAAGGTTATTGATTGGAGACCAATTCTACAAAGGACTAAATGTTGCAATAGTTTTGGTTCTCAACTTCATGTTGCTTTTAATGGTGATAGTGAAGTTGTATGCAACTTTTGGGGCTTTATCCATTCATCTTTGTTGTCACTAAATCTCCTGGTGCTGCAATTTCTTCATAGTTATATTTTTGTAGTATTGATATTTTGTTAAAATTATTTCCAAAATTTACACAAAAAAATCATGATATTATTCACGCCAAAATCATGATATTCATAACAATGTAACCATTAATTTTAACTAATCAATAGTCTTTTTCTCTCTAACCTGTGGTTTCCACAGGTTGTAACCTAATATATATATATATATATATATATATATATATATATATATATATATATATATATATATATATATATATATATATGGAAAATAACTTATTAAGGTAATTAACTTTTCGGTATGTTCACATCCGGGTAATTATCTTTTTTTTTTTGTATACATTTAGGTAAAAAACTTGTTGGAAGTGTTCACATATAACCATTATGACCTGCTATAGCAGGTTAAATCTTAGATGTGAACGCTTTTAACAAGTTCGTTACCTAGATGTGTACAAAAAAAATAGTTAACAAAATGAAAAAATAAAAGTAAATTACACGAATGGTCCCTATAGTTTGGGGGAATTTGTGTTTTTGGTCCTTAACTTATTTTTTTAAACTTGGATGGTCCCTACTGTTTATTTTTATTATGCGTTTGGTCCCTGTCTTACCTAAAAAGACTATTTTGCCCTTATTAATTTATTTTTTAATTAATTTTCTTATTTATGTATTTATTTTTTATATATTTAAAAAAACTAGTAGACCCCACATATTTGTATCTCCTCACCATAAACCTCAAACCACATTTGAGAAATTTAATTCGGATGATCCCTATTGTTTATTTTTGTTGCGCGTTTGGTCCATGTCTTACCTAAAAATACTATTGTGCCCTTATTAATTTATTTTTTATTAATTTTCTTATTTATGTATTTATTTTTTATATATTTAAAAAAATTAATAGACCCCACATATATCTATCTCCTCACCGTGAACCTGAAACCACATTTGAGAAATTTAATTTGGGTCTTACTGGTCACTATCTCATCTCTCATCCTCCCCAATTTTTATTTCTTTTCCATCTTTAGTAACAACGACGTCTTCACCATCCTTCTTTTTTTTCGTATTTCAACTCTGGCGAACCAACACCATAACCTACTGTCTCTTCATCTTTAGTGGGTTGTGGTGTTGATTCGAAGGAGTTAAATAACCGAAAAAAGAAGGGATGATGAAGACATAACAAAATTAATAAGTGCACAATAGTCTTTTTAGGTAAGACAGAAACCAAGCTCGTAACAAAATTAAACAGTAGAGATCATCCGAGTTAAAAAATAAATTAATTAAAAAATAAACAATATGGATCATCCGAGGAGATACAAATATATGGGGTCTATTAATTTTTTTAAATATGTAAAAAAAATACATAAATAAGAAAATTAATTAAAAATAAATTAATAAGGGCACAATAGACTTTTTAGGTAATACAGGGACCAAACATGCAACAAAAATAAACACTAGGGACCATCCAAGTTAAAAAAATAAGTTAGGGACCAAAAACACAAATTTCCCCAACCCACAGGGACCATTCGTGTAATTTACGAAAGAGTCCCAAAATTTTGCCTCAGTTTATGATTCAGTCCTAAATTAAATTTCACTTATGAAAAAGGACAAATTACCGGCTATTACCCTCAGTTTAGCCCTAGGAACCGGTAACCCTTATAATAGTCGGTTACCCCAGCTCACTGTCCTTATCACCCTCCATTAACCTCCCCGTCATCCACTGCTCCTCTGTAAAAACCCTTTCTTACCCTCCATCGAGACTTAACGTTACCTGAGAAGAATCAAAGGTAAGAAAATCCACGTGGTCCTCCAATATCGTGCTTCCCTTATAATATTTGATTAATTTTTTTTTGTAGTGATAATGGAGACAGTAGATGACTTCGATACCATTGGCGTGGAATTGGATGAGTTTTTCAAACACAAACAAAGAAGTCGATGCAAAGATGAGTTCCTAAATACTCTCACGGACGAAGCGCTTGACGAATGCACCATACCTGAGATAAACCTATATGATTTTGAAGGAATGTCAGAAGATGAAGCACCACAGGAAAAGCAGAGTGATAGTGAAGGTGACGATGAAGACAAATTGCAGTTTCAATACTCAACCCTTGATCCGAAGGTGAAATGGAACAATATGAAGCCAGTTCTTAGAGAGATGTATGAATCACCACACCAACTAAAGCTTTATTTGACAACTTACTCTATAAGTATGGGTTATCCAATTAGGTTTAAGAAATGTGATAGTGTAAGGCTCGTGGTTGTATGTGCAAGTGACCCTGAGAAATTTCAATGTCCCTTTGTTGTAAGGGACTCATGGATGAGCACTGAAAGATCATTCCAAATCAAAAAAATGGTTGAGCAGCATACCTGTGTTAGGAATTTCCATAGTGCTAATCTTATGGATCCCACATGGATAGCTAGGTAGTTTCTGAAGGAGATGATTAGGAAACCAAATCTGAAATGTAAGGAAATGCAAGCTATTATTCAAAGCACGTTCCATTGCAAGGTTTCATGGTCAAAATGTTATAGAGCAAAGTGTAGGGAAATTTCTTTAATAGATGGAAAGTTGACTGATCACTATGCAAAAGTTTGGGATTATGGACATGAACTGATGAGGTCCAATCCAGGGAGTATAATTCAAATATCTATCACTGTAAACCCTGATAACACTACTACTTTCCATAGAATGTATACATGTTTTAAGGCTATCAAAGAAGGATGGAAAATTGGTTGTCGAAGAGTTATAGGGCTTGATGGGAGTTTTTTGAAAGGACAATGTAAAGGTGAGCTGCTAACTGCCATAGGGAGGGATGCAAATAACCATGTGTATCCCATTGCTTAGGTAATAGTTGAAATTGAGAACAAGCCCAACTGGCAATGGTTCTTGGAACTATTACATGATGACCTGGAATTACAAGGATGCTTGGATTTGTGTGCTATTTCTGATCAACACGAGGTAATGTTTTCAATTATCTCCTTTTTTTCATTTCATTTATACATGGATCAAGCTTTAGCAATGAAATTTTTTAATGTAATTGATAGGGTCTTTTGGAAGCTGTAAAGGTTGTATTGCCACATGTGGAGCACATACAATGTGCAAGACATGTGTATGTAAATTTTAGAAAGGTATTCAGTGGTATAGAGTTCAAGAATATGTTTTGGACAGTTGCCAAGTCAACTGTTGAAGGAGAATTCAAATTGAATATGGAGAAGACCAGAGAAGTCAATCCTGCTGCTTATGATCATTTGATGGCAAGGGAGCCTAAATCTTGGTGCAGGGCATTTTTTAAAGGTGGAATGTCATGTGAGGTTGTTGAAAATGGAATGGCAGAGTGTTTTAATGCCATCATACTTGATGCCAGAAAGAAGCCTTTGTTGTGACAACCGTCAAATTCTGGTCAAGTCAAAGTCAAACAAAGTCAACAAGTTAAGTTGGTCAGCTCAGTTAACTCTTGTATACTAAGGTTTACGCTATGTAATTACTATACAACTCGCTATTTTAATGAGAAATCATCAACTGAAAAGTTTGTATATCTAAATTTCCTTAACCTAAAATTGTGGTAAGTAATGAACCGAACCGATAAAATAATGTTGTATACTCATCGGGAGTGTGTAAGATCCTTAAACATGGCTTAACGGGGCTTACGGACCTTGCGTTGCGAAGCCAAACACTCAAAAAGGTCACAAAAGAAGCCTCTCCCAATCTCTTCCACTCTATCTCTCTTTATTAAATTTTTCTCCCAAATCTCTCTCCATATGAGAAATCTCTCCAAGTATGTCAAATCTCTCCCAAATCTCTCCAAGAATGTGGAATCTCTCCCAAATCTCTCTCCATATGAGAAATCTCTACAAGTATGTCAAATCTCTCCTAAATCTCTCAAAAAATGTGGAATCTCTCCCAAATCTCTCTCCATATGAGAAATCTCTCCAAGAATGTGGAATCTTTCCCAAATCTCTCTCCGTATGTGAAATCTCTCCAAGTATGTCAAATCTCTCCCAAATCTCTCTCAAAACCTCTTTTGAGTTTTATAATCATTTGGGGCATGCCGACACTTAACTTGGTGAAAACCCACTCGAAAGGGGGTGATATCTTGGAAAATAGCCTTTTAGGGCCGAAGTCTCTTTATTGGGGCCAAACCCTCCTTGAACCGAGGTCCCAAGAAGCAAAAATAGAGCCTCCTTGAGTAGCCGCAGCCATCTAACCGCAGCCCCTTAAGGAACCGCAACCTTCGTACCGCAATGACTAAGGACTGGAGCTACGAGGACCGAGGCTGCTGAAGACCGCAGCGGAACAGAATCCGGAACTGAGCACCGCAGCCAACCTTCACTTCGGACCCTCCTGACGAGCCGCCTGCGGTATCTACTCGGACCGTAGTCCCCTCCCCCTCCGATCTAATTTAGCGACTTCGGTACTAAGGCTGCTGAGACCGAGCCCTCGCCCAGACTTCGGATTTTCCACATTTTTACCCGGTTTTCGACCACGACTCCGTTTTGAACCCGTTTTAATTATTTTAACGGGGGATTTTCACTCAAACTTATATTTTGACATATAAGGTCCCATATATTCATAAATTCAACATATTTTTTTTTAAGGAAATCCTTATTTAAGAATAAAATTCAATAAGTAAGATCTTGTGGTGGAATGTTGACTTTGCCATGGTGTTAGACACAAGCAACCACCCCATACCCACTCCATGACTAACCCACACCCCTCCTTACCATACCTGGTCATTCAAAAGTACTTTTCCCACTCATTTCTCATCCATTCCCACGTCCTAAGAGCTGGACAACCCCCTCTCTCTCCTCACACTTCCCTCATTCTCTCATTTTTCCTCCAAGGATCACACTCCAAATTCTCTCACAATTCTCTCCTAATTTTGAGACTTCCAAGGATGATCATCAAGCTTTCTTCCAGTCTTGGTAAGTATAATTCGTTCTTCTTATGATTATTACATATCTTTCTACTCAAAATCATAAGAATCTTAAACAAACATCGCCACCTTCATGTTAGGTTCTCGGTTCTTCAAGGCATCTCCTAAGTGTTCTTGAGTTGAACACTTCCCTTCTTTAACATCTATCCACTGAAATCACATAAGGTGAGTTCATAACCCTATCTTTTCACGTTTTCTTAAGTTTTAAAGGGGGGGGGGGGGGGGACACAAGTTAAAACAACAAGAATACAACTAAACTCTTCCAACAACTTTCATAAGAAAAGTTGGACTCCATTCACAGACTTTTTTGGACAACTTAAACATTTTATTTTTCAAAATTGTATTAGGTGAAAATATTTCAAGTTCTTAAGTTTAAAATGACTACTTGCACATCTCCATACGATTTTTCTACAATTTATGGTGATTTTTACAAAACTGCCTATCATTTCAAGAACGAATCTGGACCAGTCTGTGATTATGGACTTTTTACTAAAAATCATAATAAAATTTATGAAAAAACTAGATTCATTTTCCAAACTCCCAGAATTTATGGATTTTGATTTGGACCTTTGATAATTTTCTATAAAATTTCTAAGAATAGCAATAGAAAATGTTAACAACAGAAAAATACTATCAATTTCATTCCACCTTGTAACTTGTTGAGCAATGTGTATATCATTATGTGATCATATAATATAACATTATATGTCATTTTGTCTTGGTAATTAGACATACATCAGTAGACAAATAGTTTTTTACCTTCTCAAGAATGGTAATTAGTTTATTGTTATAAACAAGTTTACGTCCATGGCATGCAAATATTTCAAAAAATTATGGAATTATAGTTTATGCCGATTTTACATTATAAACGATTATGATAAACTATAATAGGTATAGTTTATGTTTCATTACATTTCAAACTCTTTACCAAAGGTTCTTAGTTCACGTAAATCTGTTAATGAATAAATTTGTGAGACACTCGCTTCGTGTTACATCCATGTAACAAAGTCAAAAGTCCCGTAAATTGTAACCAGAGTCTCTTTTAGGGAGAACGTGATAGTTGTGTATAGATCTATATTGGGTTTGACAAACCCACACCTGAGCTGCATGCAACAGCTAGACCAGCAGGTCTGAGGTGACAAGTGTCATTTAACTTGAGATGCCTGAAGAACGTCATATTACGAGGCCGTCTGAGTCATAGTATGGTTATAATAACTCACATGTGGTATTAACAAACACAAGATTTACGAGTTTCACTTCTAAATTTAACGAGTTTATGTCGATTTAAACTTGCATTATTTATTATAAGTAAGGAATGTTACCTATACATTTTGGTCTTGGGATTTAAGTCTACATTTTACGTATTAAGGAAAATAATGGATTTTCTGGAACGAACACTACTTTTACAAGAAAAGGTTTTCATAACTACATACAAATGCTTATGAACTCACCAACCTTCGTGTTGACACTTTTTCAAAACAACTTGTATTCTCAGGAAATCGCTAAACAGGAAATCAAGTGCTTTTGAGGATGGAACGTTAAGACATCAAACATTTCATTTTTGTCAACATAATGTACTTGTTTTGGAAACATGTAAACTCATACACTGATGTACCTCTTTCAATTATATTTATGTTGGTTGTGTTTACTTTAATCACTATTGCAATTGTTGTTATGATAATATACATGAAGTCCACCCCCGGACGTTTTCGCCATCCTTGGTTTGAGGGTGTGCATTTGTTGGCCATGCTTGAGGAGATTAGACTATATATGATGGAAAGGTTATTTAACTTGAAGCAAGAAGCACGTAAATGGGTGAATAACGTGTGTCCAGGAGCTATTAAGAAAATGGATGAGTTTGCTTTTGATATCAAGTAAGTATTATAAAATCAAGACAATGTATGAGTTTAGTATTAAGACTCAATATGTATACTAATTAAAACTATTAATGTGTTTGCAGGAGTTGGTATGTTCATCCTAGTGGTTTGAATGCTTTTGAAGTGAGAAATGGCTTCCACTCGTATGGAGTGAACTTAGAGGGGATGCATTGTACATGCAGACTTTGGGAGTTATCTGGGATCCCCTGTGTCCATGCCCAAGCAACCATAATTTATACACAATAGGATCTAGCTATATTCATCAACACATGGTTTGGTAAGGACAAGTTCTTAGCTACTTATGAGTCTAACATCCTTCCTGTTAATGGCACTAATATGTGGGAACCAACATCTTACACCAAACCACTACCACTTATTGAAAGAATGATGCTAGGAATGCCTTGTATGAAAAGGAAAAGGCATGTCTCTGAGCATTAAGACAGGTTTTCCCAAGTCTCCTCTAAGGGTAGAACTGTCCAGTGTCAGAATTGTATACAAATGGGGCACAATAAACTATCTTGCAAGAATCCCTCAGTCCAACCAACACCAAAGCCTAAGAAGAAAATAGGAAGGCCAAGGTTGAATCCAGAATTGACCAACTGCACTAGACTTAGGAGAGGTGGTGGAAGAGGTGGTAGAAGTGGTAGAAGAGGGTCTACCAGTGTTTATGAAGAAAGTGAAAGTTCTGGGAAAAAAGAACCTAGGATTGAGACTCAATTTTTCACCCAAAAACACCTAATGTTGAGAGTCAATTTGTCACCCAAACAGTACCTACTGTTGACAGTGAACATGTACCAGAAACACAGGAAGCAGATGTTAACATTGATGATGAATGTGATGGTCTTGATATGGCTGATCTGGATCAAATACTGAGTGATTTGAGTTACCTTAGAGAGTCAAAATACGGTGAAGCAGACATCCTTTTGTGTCTTAATATCACCCAATCACAACTGAAAGGATTTGATGCTTTGATTCACCAATCCAAACAAGCTGCAAAGGTATATATTATAACATTGACAGTGAATTTTATTTTTCAATAACATAACTAACTTGTATTATTTCCCATGCAAGGATGTGCCTTTTGTGAGTGAACATGTACCAGAAACACAGGAAGACAATGGTGAAGATGGAGCTGAAGAATCACATGAGGAAAATGATGAAGATGGAGCTGAAGAATCATAGGAGGACAATGATGATGATGGAGCTGAGGATGATGAAAAGGGAGTTGATGATACTCAAGTTAGGGTTAGAACTCAAGTCAGGGTTAGAACAAGAAAAACTTCTGAAAGGATCACTGAAAATATGTTGAAGAAAATTGTGATCGACAAGAAAGGAATAGGAATGGCTATAGAAAAAACTCTTACTTTGGATTAGATTAGTTAGGATTTAAGCAATTATGTGGGCTACTTGGCCAAAATTTGTTAGGAAGCCCTTTTTGGTAAATTTGTTAATATGCCCTTTCATTTGTAAACAATATACAATATGGATGCATTGTTAACACTTTGGAACTTTAGATTGGTTAGGATTTAAGCAGTTATATGGACTATTTGGGAAAATTTGTTAGGAAACCCTTTTTGGTAAATTTGTTAATAGGGATATGCCCTTTTCTTTTGTAAACACTTTGGCTGATTTTGGTATGTTTTGTTGATGTATAACTTACATCCATTTTGTTCATTATGTTATATTGAAAAACATCCTTCATTTGCTCACATCATACACTTACAATTGTACATTGCTCAAACAATAGGTATCCATAAAAACATTTTTCATTCAACAACATACAACTTACATCCAACTGTTATTTAAAAGTTTTACAACAACATAAAACTACTTCAACATAATCCACACAATCACCAACAAACACAAAAAAACCCAATCTTCCATTTTTCACCTTCAACTTGTACAAGAACCTCTTGAATGCCATTGTTGTGAAAATCCACAGCTTCTTCCATAAAGTCTTCCGCAAAATCATTGTGTACTTGAATGTCATTATTATGAAACTCCATCAACAAGTTTCTGTACCAGTTGTTTGGTAATGGGGGATCGACCCAAGCAAAATACTTGCAATCTTTTTCCTCATCCTGTTATATAGGAAATAAAACCTAATTGGAAGAGATTTGAGATGTAATTAAAGAGGTTTAAGGGATACTTACCCAGAAATTAGGGCAACCAATGAATCTCCTGCCAGGGTTTGTTGGCCTCCATGATGTCCACTTACCAACGGGGTCTTCTGAAAAGCATGTCGCCCTTAATGCTTGCCTTCGTGATCAGATATTGTTCCTACTTCCCACTGAGCTTGAAGATGCCATTTTGGTAGAGTTTTGTTTCGATGGAGGGTAAGAAAGGGTTTTTACAGAGGAGTGGATGACGGGGAGGTTAATGGAGGGTGATAAGGACAGTGAGCTGGGGTAACCGGCTATTATAAGGGGTAACCGGCTATTATAAGGGTTAACGGTTTGTGACAACCGTCAAATTCTAGTCAAGTCAAAGTCAAATAAAGTCAACAAGTCAAACCGGTCAACTTAACTAACCCTTGTGTACTAGGCTTACGTTAGGTAATTACTATACAACTTGTTATTCTAATGAGAAATCATAAATTGAAAAGTTCGTATATATGGATTTCATTAACCTAAAACTATGGTAAGTAATGAACCAAACCGATAAAACAATGTTGCATACTCATCGGGAGTGTGTAAGATCCTTAAACATGGCTTAACGGGGCTTACGGACCTTGCGTTGCGGAGCTAAGCACTCAAAAAGGTCACAAAAGAAGCCTCTTCCAATCTCTTTCATTCTATCTCTCCCAAATCTCTCTAAGAATGTGAAATCTCTCCCAAATCTCTCCAAGTATGTAAAATCTCTCCCAAATCTCTCCAAGTATGTGAAATCTCTCCTAAATCTCTCCAAGTATTTGAAATCTCTCCCAAATCCCTCTAAGTATGAGAAATCTCTCCAAGTATGTGAAATCTCTCTCAAAAGTTCATTTAACTTTTTATAGTCTTTCGGGCCATCCCGACACTTAACCGGGTCAAAAACCACTTAAAACGGGGTAAATACGGGTAAATTAGACTTAAGGACCCGAAACCCCTCTTATAGGGCCGAACCCTCTTAGGGCCGAAGGTCCATGAAGGGACCGAACTGCTGAGTCGAAGCCCCAAGAACCGAACCCGAAGCTCCAGGAACCAAACTTACCTTCGGACCGAACCCTCTATCTTGAACCCGAACCTCGCATGCGAGCCCAAACCCTACTTTCGGTCCATTTCGCTTCCGACCAGCTTTGCCCCATTTCACTTCCTAGCCCACTTCGCCTTCGGGTCCAGCACCAGGAGGGGCCGAACCCTCGCACCTTCGCCTCAACTTCCCGGTTTTCGACTAGTTTTGCATTTTAGGCTTGTTTTTAATTATTTTAACGTGAGATTTTCACCAAAAACTTTATTTTAACATGTAAGCCCCCATATTTATTAATTAATCACGTTTTTGGGGATAAATCTTATCCAAGAAGAGTGGGTGAAGTACAAGAGGTGGAGTGTTGACTTTCTTTAGTTAATGACACAAGCAACCACCCCCACACTCACTCCATGACCAGCCACACTCCTTCCACCATACATACGTCATGTCAATGTACTTTCTCATCATTTCCAGCCATTTCCCACATTCTTAGAGCTGGAACATCCACCCTCTCTCCTCACACTTCATTCATTCTCTCATTTTCCACCAAGAATCACACTCCAGACTCTCTCATCTTTCTCTCTCAATTTCAAGAACTTCAAGGCATACTCCAAGGCTTTTCTCCTTCATTTGGTAAGTATCATAATCTTTCTTATGATTACTACACATCCTCCTACTCAAAATCATATATTGCTTACACAAATTCCATCACATTAGTGTTAGATTCTCGAATCTTCAAGCAATCCTCCAAGTGTTCTTGAGTTGAACACTTCTCTTCTTCAACATTCACCTACTAAAATCATATAAGATAAGTTCATACCCCTATCTTTCATGTTTTCTTAAGTTTTAATGGGGGGGGGGGGGGAATACAAGTTAAAACACCAAGAACACAACTAAATGATTCCAACAACTTTCATCAGGAAAGTTTAACTCCATTCACGGACTGTTTTGGTCAACTTAAACATTATAGTTTCCAAAACTGTATTAGATGCAAATATTTCAGGTTTACACCTTTAAAATGACTACTTGCACATCTCCATACGATTTTTCTATGATTTATGGTGATTTTTACAAAACAGCCTATCATTTCAAGAACAAATCCGGACCAGTCTATGAATATGGACATTTTAGCACAAGTTAAAGACTTCAAAAATCATAATAAAAATTATGGATAAACTAGACACATTTTATGGACTCTCAGAATTTACGGATTTAGTTTTCGACTTTGTATGATGTTTCTATGATTTTTCTAAAACAGAGCACGAAGGTTAAAAACTAGTTAACAACTTATAACTTTCATAACACTTTGTATTATGTTGAGCAAAGTGTATAACAATAAGTACTAAATATTGAATGTGTTTTCTTGTTAGTTTATCATCGTAAACTGACATTTAGTCATTCATGATAAGATTCTTCATTAATTTAGAACACATATAACAAGCTATAATAATCATAGTTTATGGATTCATAGCACTAATTTATTTTCATAAAACAGTTCTTTTACATTACAAACGTTTTGGATAAACTATAATAGGTATAATTTATGTATCATTTACATTTCAAACTTATTTACCAAAGGTTTTCAGTTCAGTTCACGTAAATCTGTTAATGAATAAATTTTTGAGTCATTCCCTTCGTGTTACCTTCATGGTAACAAAGTCAAAAGTCCTGTAAATTGTAACCACAGTCTCTTGTAGGGAGAGCGTGATAGTTGTGTATAGATCTATATTGGGTTTGACAAACTTGCACCAGAGTTGCTTGCAACAACTAGACCGGTAGGTATGAGGTGACAATTGTCATTTAACGTGCGACGCCTGAAGAATGTTGTATTACGAGGCCGTTTGAGTCTTAGCATGGTTATAATAGTTCACATGTGGTATTAACAAATCATAAAATTTACGGGTTCTACTTTTATATTAACGAGTTATGTCGATTTAACTCACATGAATTACTTTAAGTATGGAAAAAAACTTGTACACTTTCATATCAAAAATGATTTTATGCCGATTTAAAATCACTTTTATACCTTTAAGTATGGAAAAATACTTGTTTACTTTCGGTCTTGGGATTTAGGACTACCTAACTCTTATAAGGAAAATATTGGATTTTCTTTGGAAACATATTTATGTTAAAACTCCATTCATCTAGAATTGTTAGGCTTCGGTTGTAATTGCGAAGTGTATATGTTAGAGTTATATAGGAATCTATTCATAATCGACTTAGAATTGATGGGCCCGCCTTTCTTTCTGTTCCTTGTTTGGTTGTGGATCTAAGGCAGACCCATTATAGACCCATTATATTCGACGGTTCATTTAATTTAAATCTTATATAACATATATACACTAAGTGATTATAGAAGGAATCTACGAGCCTTTCTAGGGTTCATTATCGCATAACATAGAAGCATTCATTTCACACTTGATAAAGAAAATATTGGATTTTTGGAAACGTACTTTGTTGTTTTTTCAAAGAAAACGGCTTCTTCCTCAAACAAAACTCTTATGAACTCACCAACTTAATTGTTGATACTTTTCAAAACTACTTGTATTCTCAGGAAATCAGTGAAACAGGAAAACAACAACATTTTGAGGATGAGACGTTAAATCGTCAAACAATTCATTTTGTCATCATAATATAATTGATTTTGAAACATGTAAACTTACTATGATGTTACTTTTTCAATTATATTTATGATGATTGTATTTACTTTGAGCACTATTATACTTGTTGTTGTGATACTATACATGAAATCCTCCACCCCGGATATTCCGTCATCCTTGGTTTGGGGTTGTGACACGGTTCCTAAGACTACACTGAGTGTAATAGCCGTTAATCAGTCCTTTTTCATAAGTGAAATTTAATCTAAAACTAAATCATAAATTGGGGCAAAATTTTGAGATTTTTTCGCAGACTTCCCTATAATCAATTAAGTAAAGTCTCTTAATATTTCAAATACTTTGAAATTGGTCTTAGAAGAAGGTTAAAAGTGGCGAATGGCAACGTGGATGATCTTAGCCAAATAAACAAAAAAGTAAAAGGCAAAAATGCTCTTATTTTTTCCCTAGGAAAATTTGCATATGAACAACACCAGAGACATGTCCCTGTTTGCCTACGACAGTTTAACTTCAATTGTCAATTGATTTCCATTCGCAAATTTGATCTTTCAGTATCGATAAGCCCCAAAAATCAACTCAACGGATCATCACCATCATAAAAACCTTTTGAAACCTCCGTAAACCCTAGCTTTTAACAATGTGCTTTGATCCAATTTCTTTCTGCGTTTTCCTGTACAAATTCCACTGTACATAGCACTAGCTATTCATCTGATCGTGGCGATGATCAGTGCATCGAACCCTAATTCAATGATGTCTTCGTCGTCAACAACAGGCAACAACAACGCTGCCGGCAGCGGACAACAAGCGCCGGGTTTGAAGACGTATTTCAAAACGCCGGAAGGAAGGTATAAGCTTAAGTACGAGAAAAGTCATCCCGCCGGTCTCCTTCACTATGCCCATGGCAAGTCTGTTACTCAGGTAATATTTCCGGTCCTTGATCCACCCTAATTTTGATAAATTTCTCATGTTTCTAATTCTGTTTCAATCGACCTGTATTTAATTCAGTATTTGGGCATTTCTGTAAGAACATAAAATTGGTAACCTGTTGGATTGTTTATGTATGCTATTTGGTAAAGATGTGAAGATCACTAATATCTTCTTTGTTCGATATCCATTCCATAAAGAAAAGTAACAAGGATTAAACTGACTTCCAAATCATGATATTCTTCCCAGGTGACTCTTGCTCATCTAAAGGATAAACCTGTCCATGCTCTGTCATCTTCATCTTCAAGTATAGGCATCAGTAGTGGTGTAAAATCAGCAGCAGCAAAGTTCTTAGGTGGTGGAAATGGTAGTAGAGCACTTAGTTTTGTCGGAGGCAATGGTGGAAGCAAATCTTCAAGTGGAACAACTAAAGTTGGATCATTAAGTTCTTCATATACCAATAGCTATACACCCAATTCAAACTTTGATGGAAAAGGAACTTATTTGATATTCAACGTTGGTGATGCAATTTTCATCAGTGATTTAAATTCTCAAGACAAGGTACTTACTAGTTACTTCTCCTTCAACAATCAACATGAATTTGGTTCTAATGTGATAATGTCATACACAGGATCCTATAAAGTCTATAAATTTCAGCACTTCAAATCCCATTTCCCATGCTTTTGATCCAGATGCTAAAGATGGACATGATTTGCTCATTGGATTGAATTCTGGAGATGGTATTCATTTCTGTTTTTCTCAAAAGACAAAATTTCAATGACTAGTGTCAGTTTTTTGTTATACATTACATGTTTTGTGAATTTTGTAGTTTATTCAGTGTCATTAAGACAACAATTACAAGATGGTGGAAAAAAGCTTGTTGGAGCCCAACATTATAACAAAGATGGATGTGTGAATAACACTCGCTGTACAAGTATTTCATGGGTACCTAATGGTGATGGAACTTTCATTGTTGCACATGCAGATGGAAATATGTATGTATATGAAAAGGCAAGTCATTTACATTTACAATAATAATAATAATAATAATAATAATAATAATAATAATAATAATAATAATAATAATAATAGTATGTCTCTAATTAATATGGTGAATAATGGAAACTTATTAATAATTTTATTAATCTTACCGTATATATCCAGAATAAAGATGGTTCAGGTGACCCTTCATTCCCAGTTATTAAAGATCAAAATCAATTTTCTGTCTCACATGCACGATACAGCAAGGTACCAATTGACATGTATCCAAATTTGTATATTTTCTTTTATGTAATTATAATTTATAATTTTAAATTTTTATTACCTATGTACAGAATCCAATTGCTAGATGGCATATATGTCAAGGTTCAATTAACAGTATTGCCTTTTCAAGTGATGGAGCCTATATAGCTATTGTTGGAAGGGATGGTATTAATATATATAATATATAATAATAATAATTAATAACAACATCCTTTATACTATATTTAAACTCTTATATTTGTAAATATAAGTTTATTAATTATAATTAAAATAATATTTGTTGTAGGTTATCTACGAGTTTTTGATTTTAAAACCGAACAACTTATATGTGGAGGCAAAAGCTATTATGGTGCTTTATTATGTTGCACTTGGAGGTTAAAAGCTCCTTTCTTTAACTCTTTAATTTATTATTATTATTATTTAATTTTATTCGTAAAAAAAACAAGTGTAACTGATAACAAGTGAAATGACAGCATGGATGGTAAATACATATTAACTGGAGGCGAAGATGACCTTGTTCAAGTATGGAGTATGGAAGAAAGGAAAATTGTAGCATGGGGTGAAGGACATAGCTCATGGGTATGTCTTTTTACATTTATACCCTTTTTGTTTTTTTTTTGGCATTTCTGATATTATTATAATGCGGGTGACAGGTCAGCGGGGTTGCTTTTGATTCATATTGGTCTGCCCCGAATTCAGATGGCACAAGTGAAAATGTTGTATATCGATTTGGTTCTGTTGGTCAGGTAATTTTTTATATTTTAAATGAAAATGAAAATGTTGCCCAATAATTATATTGGAAAAAAAAAAACAAAAAAGTAATTTTAAATTTTAATTTGATGCAACAGGACACACAGGTACTATTATGGGATTTGGAAATGGAGGAGTTAGTGGTCCCAATGCGTAGGGCTCCCGGTGGGTCCCCAACAATGAGCACTGGGAGCCAGTCAGCTCACTGGGACCACGCATGGCCACCTGGCACGTTACGACCTGCGCCAAGCATGCGTGATGTCCCAAAGCTATCACCTTTAGTAGTCCACCGGGTCCACACGGACCCACTCTCGGGTTTAATTTTCACACAGGAATCCGTGCTCACTGTGTGTCGAGAAGGCCATATCAAGATTTGGGCCCGGCCCACTTCATCAACTGAGCCCAATTCCGACTCATCACTTTCAGCCACAACTTTGAAGGAAAAGCCCAGACTTGGGTATAGGCAATGACATCATTCCTGGTTTTTTTTTTTTTCAGGCTTTTAAAGGGCACGAGTTGTGTGCTGTTAATAATATATAGCCTAACGATGTGTGTGTGTGGTGGAATGAATGAGATTAGGATTATATAAAGAGGGCCTGTTTTTTTTTGTTGATAAGATATTGAATAACTAATTTTAATAATGAAAGTTGTTATCTTGTTTTTTTTCTTTGGAATGTAAGTTATGCTCACTAACATAACAATCAGAAGTGATTTATGACATGGGAGTTTTCTTGATTTTACATTGTTGCATCTACTAAAACAATATTTGTAGTTTCGGATGTGAATCATTAGGAAATTAACTTTGTTTAAGCAATAAAAGCGATGAAAACTTAAATAAAATGAAGCAGATAAGTATGATATAATTCAAAGAATGTAACAGTGGCCACCAAGGAACATGGGGCTTGGACAATTTGGGTGCACTTTATGTGTTGTGCCAATGGTATATCCTTTCGAAGATGCTGATTGCTTTGTCATTTTTCTACTTTCCACCACAACTCATAACTGGCTTTTCATCCCTATTTAAGGACCTTCTTTCCCATTCATCATCAAATCATGTTGAGTTTGAATAAATAATTAGAAATATGTCAACATATCACCAACATTTTCTTAGTTTACTCGGTTCTATTAAAGGTTTTTGTGCTTTCAAAGAGTAAGGAACAACACGACATGCATATCCTCCCAATTTGGTCCGGGCATCACTCGTTATGTAGAAGAGAAGGAGCAGAGATTGATGTAACACACACCTATTTTGGTGTGTTTTTTGTTATGGTAAAGAAACGGTTTTAAGTTGCATACATTTCGTGAGCAGGGCAACTCAATCATTTGGCATATGTATAAATATTTTCGGGATGGATGAGAATATCTTATACGACTTTTTTTATCATTTATTTTGTTGATATGATGTATCATTGTAATAAAATTTGTTGCATATATTTCATTTAGGTAGCATAAATATAAAAAATGCAAAAAAAGCCATCTAAAGTTCAAAACTATACAACTTAAAAGGTGCTCAAAAGACCCGATTATCATAGCCCTAGGTCTAATAAGCTACCCAATTAATTGAGCCCATATATTCAAGCCCAAATTAATAGAGGCCCATTATGAGGCTTAGTCCATCTAATCTTTTTAACCAACAAAACCCTAGTTATGGCTAACAATTCAATTTCTGCACTTCTTCCGTTCTCTCAAACCCTCGCACCTCACCACCTCTGTATCCCAATTCACCGGAGAAATGCCTCCTAAGTTCGATCCATCTCAGGTTGTTGACGTGTACGTCCGCGTCACCGGTGGTGAGGTTGGAGCTGCATCTTCACTCGCCCCCAAAATCGGACCCCTTGGTCTCTCTCCCAAGAAAATTGGAGAAGACATTGCTAAAGAAACTGCCAAGGACTGGAAGGGATTGCGAGTCACCGTCAAGCTTACCGTCCAAAACCGGCAAGCTAAAGTCTCCGTCGTTCCATCCGCCGCTGCTCTGGTTATCAAAGCCCTTAAAGAACCGGAACGCGACAGGAAGAAGGTGAAGAACATCAAGCATTCTGGAAACATATCGTTAGATGATGTTATCGAGATTGCGAAAGTGATGAGGCCGAGGTCGATGGCGAAGGAGTTGGCGGGAACTGTGAAGGAGATCCTCGGGACGTGTGTTTCCGTTGGTTGTACTGTCGACGGGAAGGATCCTAAGGATTTGCAACAGGAAATTGCTGATGGTGATGTGGAGATTCCTCTGGATTGATGCAGCTTTGATTTTTCTGGTATTTCTTTCTTGAAAGTGTTTCTATGTAGGAATTTTGAAAATTATTGCTTTTGATATATTATAAAGACTCCGATTTTGAATATCTACGTTGATCTTAGATGAATGATTCAATTGGATCACACTTGTAATCAAAATTATTGTTTTTGGTTTTGGTTTTGGTTTGAAAATATGACTGTTTGCATAAATTCTTCTTTTTGAACTATATGTTTTCCTATGTTAATGTGGATGAGTAGATGTTTATGTTAACTTCAGTGTTCAGGTTTAATCTATAGCAATTTGGCATACTGCAATTGATTGTTTGGAGGTTGACGATGCACATATTAAGTTTACTGATTGCAAATTGGCATGCATAAACCCTAATTAAGTTTTGTATGATTGAACAGGAAATTAGGAATAGCTGTAAAATGTATTATATAATTGAATAGGAATAACGACATTCATTCAAGCTTGCTAATCCTGAAAACCCTAACCAAGTCGAATGTGTCACTGGAGGAAGTTGTTTTTATATTATTACCGTGTGTGTATGAAATTGTCTATTGTTTGTTAAAGTGCTTAAAACCTAAAAGAATTATCTTCGTCTTGTTTGAAATGATGTACATATATTGTTGCCTTTATAAAAAAATTTAAGGACATGATTTTGAAATGGAAATAACTTACTTTGTCTTCAAATTATTTTAAATCATGATCATGTACATTCATGAATAGGATAAGATCGAGACTTATGTAAATTCGCAATGGAATTTGCAACCCCTTTAGGTGTGTAATGGTTCAGATGCTACCTAGTTTATACTATTTGTGAAAGAGATCTTAAAAAAGTTAAAATCATCAAAAATAAAAAAAACCATGAAAGAAAGCTTTCTAATCGAAGTCTTCGCCACATGGTAAGACACCATGAAAGAAAGCTCTCGAAAGCTGTGAAGAAGCTATTTTCAGATGCATCAATTCTTTAGCAACTAAAGCTTCCATCCCTTGGGTTTCAACAACCATAGAACCCCCAACGTCTATAGTTTGGAATGGAATCTCTACAAGTAACCCTGAAACAAGTTATGATATTGACTGATGGCAAAAAGACGTATCTCTCCTCAGTTTCCATCTCTATAAACGTGTACTTCAAGCTATTGCATCTCTAGGCATGAAACCAAGGCCCATACCTGGGTCCCTCGTGGGTACATCAAGAAAACATATACCATTAATGAATCGGGAATCGAGTTTAATATTTGACGAGTTAAAACAATTTTAAAACATTTTCACCATATAGTCGAGTTACTTCCTAGGGGATTGTTTCCACCAAATTTGTATTTTGTCATACAACTCTATCGTGTAAATAAAATATTGAAAATGGGTTCGGGCCCAGTTGGATTCGGTTGTTTTAAAGGATATATTGATACCAAATCAAAGATTTAACATGGGGGAAACATTATATGACATTGGCTCTTTTCAAAGAATAGTTGACTATTTTGTATCCATTGATGAGAGTATGAGACTCCTAGTAGGGTATGACCTTTGACTCGTTAGCTAAAGAGGTTGAGATTTTTTAGGCCTATTAGACTATAGGGTGTCATAACTTATATAGATGTGGCACATATTCATCGAGGGTGTACACCAACCCTGATTGTTTCTTTTCGGGTGTTAATTCACTTGAGGCAAAGTTCTACCTATGGAAAAAATGCTCGTTGAGCTCATATGATTGTTTGAAAAGAATTCGTTGAAGCTCTTATGATTGTTTGTTGATTTTTTTTAACAAATTACCACTATATATATATATATATATATATATATATATATATATATATATATATATATATATATATATATATATTGCCCGAGTTGCCAAGCATCATCTTTTGTTGCTTACAAAAAAAATTAATATAGATAGTTTTAATTTTAGGGTTTGTACCTTATTTAAACACCTTAAGTCCAAACCCTCATTCTCTCAGTCTCCACTGTCCTTAAAGTGTTAGACCTGAACCCTAAGCCTCTTGCATGCATTTTGAGCTTACCATGAGTATTTTTGGTGTTATTAGGTGATTTTGAAGGAGGAGTAAGGATGTGAATAGGGCTTGTAGATCCTGAAGTTTGGCATCATTTCTGACCCATTTGAAGTATAAAGCTTTAGCCTTGATCACTGCATGCTTAGATCTAGTTTTGGGGTGTTTTATGTTATATTTTGGTCCCATAATTGAGGTTCCTTCAATTATAGAAGTTTCAATCCTATCCTTTTTGGCTCATGGAGATGTTTAGAGCCATAAAAAGCGGACCTTGATGGTTTGGCCTCAACCATGCAAGTGCTAGATAGCAACCTAGTGAGCTTATGGGCTTAATTTGTGTTTTAATCCCCATCCATGCATGCAAAAGCATAAAGTTTATTACTTTATGGTTTAGGATATTTTTAGGGGCATGAATCTATGTTTTGGATGTTAGGACTTACTGGATTAAGCCAGAAGAAAGTTCTAAGGATGGTTGGCTAGTACGCTGCGTGTACTAGGTTAACATCTCGTATCTGGTCAAGGCTAGTGTACGTCGGGCGTACATGGTGAGTAAGCAGCGCTTACACATGCAGTAGATCAAAAGTGTGTTTTGGGGCTATAAGATATTAGGCTTGGAATTGTTGGGCCTCAAGCCCACCTGTGGACTAAGGCTTTTGGGCCTACGTCTAGGATTTATGGTATTGGGTCTTATTGGGCCTTAAAGCTTAGGTGGTTGGACTTGGACATTTTATTTTTAAAGTTGGGCCTTAGGAGGAAGACGCCCAATAGGGCAAAGATGAGGGAACCTTTGCCTTATGATATGAATCAAGGTTTGGACCTTGGTGCCAGGTTTAGATCCAGTGACTAGTTAGGAAGTTTGTTGTGCTATAGGGAGAGAAGGCCTGAGTCATCCGCATATTACGATTTGACATTCACAGTTGAGGTGAGTCTCCCTTCGTGAATGTTATGGGTCGAAGGCACCAATGTCGACCCTTTATTTATTGCATAGTATGATGGTTGTCTATGTGATAATTATCATTGTTCACGTATTGCTTGATGATCATGTGATTTATGTATGTTGTTATGTGGTAGTGGTAGGGGTGAAATAAACCTTGTAACCGGTTGAAATAGACCGGAGGGTAGGTCGGACACCCAAATATGTTTTGGCAGGATAGGTCGAGCACCCATATATGCTCGACAGGGTAGGTCAAGCACCCAAATATGTTCGGCAGGGTAGGTTGGGCACCCAGATATGCCTGATAGTATGATTATGTTGTATGTGGTATGGTGGGGGAAACTCACTAACGTTTGTGCTTACTGGTTCAGTTTGTGTTTCAGGTACTTCCAGCTCGAAGGAGAAGGGGCCGACTTGATCGCGTCACATCACACTAAGATTTTCTGCAGTAGAGATTTTGGGAGTTATGCTCTGATAATATTTTTTATGAACTGTATTGATTATACACTATAACTATATTGTGTTCTCATGGTTTTGGAATCAAAATGATGTTTTGTGTTTAAAAATTTGGTAAACTTTAAAAATGAAATGTTTGAGTCGTATTTTCGGGATGTTACCACACACTCACACATATACACACACACACACACACCCACCCACCCCTTATTTACCATTCAATTCACTCAAAATACAAACCTTATTCTCTCAAAATGTCTTCCAACAACTCAAATGCTCCCAACTCTTCCAACCCAATTGCACTTCTCAGTTACTATTATCACCAACACATTACTGAGCACAAATAGATCCATCAATTTACTCTCAAAACAAATGTTTGTAGGTAGTGTTCCAAGTTACTATTCATAATTCCAAATGCCACAACAATTCTAATTCCAACCCCAACCACCACGAACAACACACCTAACTGAAATGCAAACCCAAATCCAATTTCAATCCCAACCACCACGAAAAAAGTTTTTTGTGCTTTTGGTCCAAAACGAACTGTTGGTACACTATCGGTCCAGATTTGGATATTTCTATTGTTTTTGGTCCCTCACACTAACTTCCGTCCATGTGTGTTGTTACCTACAATAAAGACGAGGGTATTTTTGTCTTTCCACCTACAAGGACCGTTTTTGCAACCTTATTCAAAATAAAAGCAGGAGCTAGTGATCTCACTCTTCCATCTTCAAGTATTATGAGCTTTATATTCTTCCCTACTCATACTTTGTGTTCACAACTTCTTAGACATCAACAATCGAAATGGTGATGTGTTTCTGTGTCAGGATTGCGGTGGTTCATACCTCTTAGACATCAACAAACCCTAGTGAGAGGTTTCTTTCTTGCCCTCAATAGGTAAGTGTTCCATTTTGGTATTTTACCCTCATTTTGGAAAATCACCCTCATGTTTATTTATTTATTTATATTTATTTTTTTAATCTTGAAGGGTTACGAATGCAGATTCTTAGGATTGATTGATCCTCCAATATGTGCAAGATCTATGCTGATAATACCCAGATTATTGAGAAATATTAACAATGCAAACTATCTAGTGGCAAAACTGAAGATGTGTTTGTTTGCAAGTTGGGTACTATTTGTGGTGGTTTAGGTGTTTTTCATTTAGGGTTTAGGAATTAGGTACCCCTATAGTTGCATGGAATTTTGGGTGTTTTTTGGATTATGATATTGTAACAGGGGAATGTGGTAATTTTTTGCTATTTGATGTTGTAATATTGATTTAGGGTTATTTTGGACAACTTCAAAAATGTGTACCCTTTTGATGGTTGTAATAACAATGTAATGTAGTTATCACATAATGTTAATGTGTATTTTTTTGTTTCAAAACAAACTCGTCAAAGCCTCTAAATGTGGTAAACAATTAGAAATACACCATAAACATCATTCTTTAACAATCACAAAATGTTGACATTAAATTCATGACCAAAAAGGAGAAAGGATCCAAATAAAACAATGACAATAAAGTAGTTATAAACCATTACATCCAAATGTACAAAGTAGTCCTAAACCAAAAGATAATTTTATAAACAAAACATACTAACTCCTGCCTTAACTGCCACCTCCATTCCCTCCTTAACTGCTTCCTGCATTCCCTACTTGACCCTTGCAAGTCCTGGAGTTATGACCCCTATATTGGACTGAACTTCCATGTTTCTCTCAAGTAACTTTGATTTTGTTGGAGTGGGTGGATCTGGAGCTTTGGACTTCACTTTTATCACATTGTAGATCCTCTTCATAAGGTGTTGCCTGATGAACTCAAGACAACTTATAATGGGCTTATCCATACCATGAATTAGCTTATTGTTGAATACCTCACCCAAATTATTGAGCAATATATTTGATCCTGCTCTATCTGTATTAAACAAGTACATTATATCAAATAAGTCAAATATATTGAGCAATAGTAAAGCAAAACCTATGGTAGGGAATATAACCTGAAAAGTGGCTTATAGCCCAATGGTGTGGGGGGATTCTCTTCAACCACTCAAAAACATCCTTATCAAACCAGCTAAGTGATGGGTTTTGAGCATTACAACATTCTTATGGTGCATATGCAACCCTATTTGCTTTGGATCTAGGTTTTTCTCAAGTTATACATTCAAATTAATTTTCCAAAGCAAGAACCCTAATCTAGCATACAATTTTCGAATTCAATAATTAAACTAGGTTTAGAAGAATACCTTTCTTGTTAACTAGTAATAACAAGTAATCTTTTCCTTGATCTTGACCTTCAAGAGCTTAATTCCTCAAGCATTGCACCTCTAATGGAGTCACAAACACCACAAACAAAGAATAAGGAGAAGAGAGGCAGAAATTGGCTAGGGTTTCTTCTAAGGAAGCAGTGGTAAAAATCTGGAGGTTGGGAGGTTCCTTTTATAGTTGAGGCTGCTAGGGTTTTCAACTTGAAACCCTAACTCCCTTTCTTAGGCCCTAAGCAATCTACATACCCCCATATGATAGGCCTTGGATGAAAACTCTATAGGTTTCCCATAGATTTTCGTCCACCTCTTATCAATAGGCTCCATTAGCCTAAAGTGCAACTATCACTGGTTTACTTAATCAGCCCATGTTCTTTTAATCAATCTCTTTTGATCACTAAATTAATTTCTGATTAATACTAATTAAATAATATAATTTCTCAATTAATATATTATTCTTATAATACATTAATAAATTGGTATGTACTGTCCAGTTGCTATGGTGAAGGCAACCCAAAAAGACCATGCTACTATCGGGTCAAGTACATACCAATTATAGTTATGGGCTTAGACACCTAATCCAACAGTCTCCCACTTGGATAAGTCTAATAACTATAACTGCAAATATAACTTCAAAATCCGATTAGCAATTGTAGCTCTTAAAAGCCGCTATCAAACTGTAACCTAGTCAATGACGTGTCTTTTAGATAAGGGATCATATAATCCTCTATTCTGCAAGATATCATGTGAACAAAGACATGGAACATAATCATTATCAATGTTCAACAATTTGTTTCGCGACTTTTGATTTGTCTGATATAGAATTTAATTGAACACATCTATTCAGTCCTGACCGGGCCCAACACATAAGTCAACACAAAATCCTCGAGGGGACCAAGATATCGCTTTTACCCTCTTAGGGTAAAAGAAACAGATAAACTTTGACTTATATGCTTGTACTATTTACTCATCTAATCGTACACAACAACATGTTTTATAACATAAAGTTACTGATGCATTTACGCATTATCAATGAACAACCAACTTGTAAGCAAAAACTCATATATCTCGGTTTAAAGATTATATGATATTATCGTCTCACAATCACTCGTGATAATTTCCATGAAGTGATTCACATGAGCGTGGGTTTAATCCAATACTAAAATCTTATTTCAAAAGTACTCATGAACGTTGCATCAAACCTTTGCTATGTCTAAGCACTTAGACAATCTACAAACCAATTCATGACAATCTTTCCCCATTACTTACTCCCAAAGTATGATCGGCTTTGGATAATTTGAACAATCTAATTATTTAGGAAGTAAAACATGCAAAAGTGAAATAATAGTAAACAATTGACACAAGATAGTAAACCTTACTCATAAATAAAGCTCCATTACTTAATCATCAAATGTCAATTACATTTATCTATTACAAGTTTCTAAACATCTATCTAATCACTAAAACTAATGTCGCACTTCAGACCAATGCTTCTCGCATGTTGTAAGTGCTTAACCTTGCTCAGACCCTTTGTGAATGGATCTGTTGGGTTCTCCTCTGATGATACCCTCTTGACTATGAGGAGTCCTTCTTCTACCCGATGTCTAATGAAGTGGTATTTTCTGTTGATATCTCTAGATCTGCCATGATCCCTTAGTTCCTTAGTTAAGGAAACTGCTCCTTCGTTATCACAGAAAATCTCCATGGGTTCCTTTATGGCTGGTACAATTCCAAGCTCTCCAATGAAGTTCTTCAACCATATTTCCTCCTCCAATGCTTCGATTGCTGCTATGTACTCTGATTCACACGTTTAATCAACCACAATCTCCTGTTTGGAACTTTTCCAAGCAACTGCTCCTCCATTTAGGGTAAATGCCCAGCCCGACTGAGAGCGAAAGTTATCTCTGTCAGTCTGAAAGCTGATGTCATTATACCCTGTCACTCTCAAGTCATCACTCCCACCAAGTATAAGAACCCAATCCTTAGTCCTTCGTAGGTACTTAAGTGTTGGATTAGGTGTCTAACTTCATAACTATTTCTGGAATGTAGTTAACTCGGTTGGCATGGTCCATTTGGATTGCATGACATCATGACACTTAGATAGACTAAATGATAGAAATGAAACTTAAGGTTTATTAATATATTATAAGTTCTAATATATTAATAATATTATTTAATTAGTATTGATCAAGAATTAATGTAGAATTAATTTGGTGATCAAAAGGAGACTTACTAAATATATGAGGTTGATTGTGTAAATCATCCATTCTTATATAGTAGACTAATGATCCATGGTTTATTGAATTGGCTAAAACCCATAATGTGCTCCATGGATAGTCCATGGAGGTTATGAACCCATGGATCATGGAATATGAAAAGCCATGTCAATTAGGGTTTAGATGTTGTAACCCTACTTGTGACACCACTATAATAGGACCCGATGGGCTACCAAAATCAGCACTATGTGTAGAACAAGAGGGCTAGCCGATTTTGAGTGATAGTTTACTTCTCTCAAAGTTATTCCAAGAGTTGTGGTGTTGTGTGAAACACTTGAGGCGTGACATTTGGGGTGCTAGGCTCACAAAGTTCTCAATGAATCCAAGCAACAAGAAAGGTATGTTTTCCTACTAGCTTTTATGTTTCAAGTTCCCCATGCCATGCTAGTTCGGTTAAGAATCTTGGAAAAATCAAATTTGCATGTATCTTAGTAAAACATAGATCCAAGGTTTCTAGGGTTGCATATACACCTTAGGAGTGTTATAATGCTCAAAACCCTTCATTAAGAATGTTCTTCACTGTTGTCTAATGAGCTCTACCCAGGTTCCCTTGATACTGACTAACCATGCTCAATGTAAAAGCCACATCATGACGAGTACATGTTATAGCATACATGATCGAGCCAACGGTGGAAGCATATTACACTCAACTCATTTTTGCTATCTCAGCATCGATACTCGGACTCTGAGTCTTACTCAACTTGGTATTACTCTGGATTGGCAATTCCCCTTTGGAATTCTCCATGCTGAAACATTTTAGCACCTTGTCCAAGTAAGTACTTTGACTAAGTCGTATTAGTCTTCTACCCCTATTTCTCAAAATCCTTATCCCCAGAATATAAGCAGCTTCCCCTAGATCTTTCATAGTGAAACACTTCTCAAGCCAGGACTTAACCTCCTGCAAGGTCAAGATGTCGTTTCCTATGAGTCGTATATCATAACCATACAAAACTAGAAAGTTAACTATACTCCCACTAGCCTTGACATAAACACATGACTCATCCTCACTTCTAGAGAAACCAAACTCTTTGACTTTCTCATCAAAGAAATGATTCCATCTGCGAGACACTTGCTTTAATCCATAAATGGATTTCTCAAGATTGCATACTCTATTGGGGTATTTAGCATCTACAAAACATTTTGGTTGGCACATGTAAACATCTCAGCAATCTTCCCATTAAGGAAAGCAGTTTTGACATCCATCTGCCAAATTTCATAATCATTAAACGCAATGATTGCCAACATAACCCTAATAGACTTGATCTTGGCCACTGGTGAGAAGGTCTCATCATAGTCAACCCCTGGGGTTTGAGTAAAGCCCTTCAAAACAAGTCGTGCCTTGAATGTATGCACATTCCCATCCATTTTGGTCTTCTTCTTGAAGATCCACTTGCACGCAACTGTCTTACAACCCGGTACATTGTTAACCAAGTTCCAAACCTGATTGTCATACATGGACTGAATCTCGTTGTCAATTGCCTTTTTCCATTTTGCAGACTCGGGGCCCGTCATGGCTTCCTTGTAGTTGTTAGGTTCATCCAAATTTATTAGTGTACCATCGCTGCTAAACGTATCACCTTCAGCTGTTATATGTAAACCATACAATACAGGTGGAG